CGCTCGGGAATGACTGCTGGCGAGGCTTGGGGGACCACACGGGCTGCCGGGACGCACCCGGGCACAAGGCAAGTGCCCTCCCCACTGCGGCCCCAGCCCAGGTCTGTTTGTTCTGAGAAGTAAAGAGTTAACAGGGGGCTGGGCAGCAGGTGGACTAGCTGCCCCTGGCTCTGTGAGGCCCCTCACGCCCAGAGCCCAGCAAGGTGCAGGCCCGCACCGCCAGGCATGGCCTGGACGCAGAGAAAGCAACCGAGGAAGGAGCTAGCTCTTGCGAAACACCCAGAAACTGTGGCTGGAAGTGCGCTGGTGCCCGGCTGGTTTTGGGGGGGCCACGCCGGCTCGTGCTGGGAGAGGGTCCCTGCCAGCCGAAAAGGCCTCTGCAGAGGTCCTGTTCCTGCCGCTGGAGGCGCTGACCGTCTGGGCCCCTCTCGGCCACGGCAGTGAAGGCAGCGGCAGCAACACACACACTGAGGTGTCTGGGGCCAAGTTTGGGCGATTTAAAACGTTCCAGAAAAAAACGAGTGTCTGATTACAGACGCGGGAGGGAGGCAGATGGACACACACCCCGGGAGGGCCCCAGTTCTTAGAACCTGTGGACATGGTCGGGATGGGGAGGGGCCCTGGGCGGGGCAGCAGGTGGGGGCCCCAGGGCCGTCCCTGGCTCCAAGGGCTTCCACACAGTGGGCTTCCATGTCTCGCTTGGGGTCCCAGGAGAGGACCCCCAAGACAGAGCGAATGGAAGCCATGTGGATTCATCCCAGAGAGTGTCGCCTAGCAAGGCTGTGGGCACGGGGGGCTAGGTCCCCAAGCCTGAGCCGTGAGGGTGCTGCAGGCCCTTAGCTGGGCTCGCCCAGGCTGGTTCTTCCTAGTCAGTGGGGGCAGGCGGGGCGGGGGGGGGGGGCGAGCTTTCAGACACACCAGGGCGGTGCTGGCTAATCCAAGACGAGCACCTGGCTGGGAAGGGCGGTCCCTGAGACAAGGGTCCGGACTCGGACACTCGGGGGAAGGAGGCGCGTGAATCAGATTCAGAGAGAGCAGCTCTGGGCCGGTCCCGGGCGTTTCGCCATCCCTAAACCAGGGCTCTTTATCTGGGATGTGGGGGCCACACCTGGGGCCCGGGAAGGCTGTTCTGTGGGGCCGCGCCTGTGCTGGTTCCCACGCAGCCCCCAGGAGGCAGCTGTGGGTGGGCTGTGGGGACAGCAGAGCACACGCCTGGCCTGCCCGAGACCCCGAGACCCGGGGTCGGCCCCCAGCACCACCCAGCAGAAACACTGTCGGGGCTGGAGGCGTCACGGACCCTCAGGGGAAGCTTGGTTGGGGGTTGGCTTGGGGTGACGCCCGGCGGTGCTCTGGGCTGGTCCTGGTTCTGCATCGCTCCTCACGGGGCCCTTGAAGACCATGTGAGGTCCTAGGGCTCGAACCCGGGGTTGCAAGGCAAGCACCTTCCCTCCGTCACCATTCCTTCCTTCTTTGGTTTTGTCTTTGTCTCGGCCCCGTGCTCAGAGCTTCTCTGGGGCTCCGGACCTTATGGTCCCAACTGGCTGTGAGCAAGGCCAGGGCCTGACCTGCTGTGGGACGGCCCTGCCCCTCCCCCACACCCCCATGCCCCCTCCCCACCTTCTTTCTGGGCCCTTCTCTGGTGTCTGCCAGCCCCTGTCCGGGCAGTCTGGGGGCTGTGTGGGGTCAGTCGGTTCTGGCACTGCTGCTTAAGTCCCAGTGGCCGAGGGCACTGCAGGGAGCAGCCCTGAGCACCGTCCCCCTCCCCCCCCAGAACTGGGGCCCAGCCGTGCCCCGCCCCTGTCCCTGATCCTGAAGCCCCCTAGAGGGAAAATTCACAGCTTTTTTTTTAATCTTTTTTTTTTCTTTTGGGTCACACCCGGCAATGCACTGGGATTACTCCTGTCTCTGCACTCAGGAGTTACTCCTGGCGGTGCTCAGTGGACCCTACGGAATGCTGGGAATCAAAACCGGGTCGGCCGCGTGCAAGGCAAACGCCCTCCCCGCCCGCGATCGTCCAGCCCCAGAATTCGCAGCTTTGAAGAAGTCCGGCTGCTGTGGCGACACCGACCCAGGTCAGTGTGGCTCCCAGCAGAAGGCCCCTGGAGGGTGGGGCCCGGAGCCGGGGGCTGGAGTCCGGTTGGCTCTGGGGGGTCCCAGCAGACGCCAGCGAGACTGCAGCCCCCAGCCAAGCAGCCCCGAGCCGGCAGGTGTGGTTCAAACCCAGAACCCGCAGGTGGGAAGCTCAGCCCGCTTGGAGGGAGCCGGGAAATGGGGGGAGCCTTTCCCAGGCCTGGGGGCATCCCACCGGGGGCTTCCCCAGGGGTCTCCCACCCCTCAGGGACGCTCCAGCCAGAGAGAGCCATCCCGGACCCTCCTGCCGCTTAGTCCCCACCCTGGGTGCAGGAGGCCCCGGCTGGGGGCGAGGGCGGGGCACAAGCGAGGCCCCAGGCCCTGCAGGGCAGTGCCGGGCAGGGCACCGCTGGGGGCGGCAGGACCAACCCCAAGTGGAGACCCCGCAGCACGGCCGAAAACTCCCAGGGTGCAGCCCCTCCGACTCCCTCGGAGAGGAGAAAGGGCCCGCGCCGCCCACGCTGGGCAGACCCCCGGAGCCCACCCGGATGCCCGCCTCCAGCTGCCCCCAAGCCCACCCAGAGGTGGGGGCGGGGCGGGGCGGGAGGGGCGGGACTCTGGCGGCTGGAGCGCGGGGCCCCTCCGTGTTTCCAAGGGCCCCGGCGGGTTGCAGCAGAAAACAAGGCGTGGCGCGCAGCGATAGCAGCGGGCAGGGCGCGGGCGAGGGGCCCGCCCGGGTTCTTCCCCAGCACCCCACTGGGCCCCCGGCATCGCCAGGGGCGGACTCCTGAGCGCAGAGCCAGGGTAACCCCTGAGCATCGCAGAGTGTGGCCCCAAACAAACGAGAAACAGAAAAACGCAAAGCAGAGGATGGCTGCGGCTGGGGGCCGCGCAGGGGGCGGATCCCCGGCACCTCCTGGGGGTCCCCGAGCCCGGAGGAAGCCCTGGGCACAGTCAGGTGTGGCCACAAAAAGGGCCAAAACAGAAGGAAACAAGAGCGTGGGGCAGATGCAGGCGCCGACGGTTCCGAAAACCCTTCCGAGAGCCCGTGCGCGGCGCTCCACCTGGACCGAAGGGCCCCTCAGCCGGGGACCCTCCGGGAGCGGGGGCTGCGGGCGGGGGAGGGGCGCAAAACGTGGGACTGGCCCCCCGGCCGCTGGGCTCGAAGGAGACGGCCCCAGCCCGCGCGAGCGCATCGGCAGCCGGCCCTGCAAGGGTCCCAGCGGGAGGGGGTCTGCACCCATTCGGGCGTCCCTCCTGCGCGCAGTCCTGCACTTCTCCGCGGGGACGGGGCGGACGGGGACGCGCGAGCAGACGGGTGGTCGGACACTGCCGGAGACCCGGGGGATGTGGGATGGACACGGGAGCGCGCCACGCTGCCAGGGTCCCCGGCACCCACACTGTCCCCTGAGCGCCGCCGGGAGTGGCCCCCGGAGAAGACAAACCCGCCCACCCGAACGTTCCCTCCCGTCTCCCTCCCGGGCCGGGGCACAGGCCGTCCTTCCCGACGGGAGACGCGGGGACAGGTGCCTGGGAAAGGCGCACTCGGGGCGGCCAGGGTTACGCCGGGACTGGGGGAGGGCACCGGACCGTGAGGGACCCCGGGCCGGAGACGTGCTGGGGTTCCGTGTCCACCCGGACGGCCCTGCGCGGAGACGGCCCGGCACAGCCGCGCGCGGCGCAGACTCGGGACGAGGGTGCCCGAGAAGCGGAAGCCACGCAGTGCCCTGCTGGGTGGTCACCGCCGCGGCCCTGCTGGGGGCACGTGCTGCCGGCACCCGCGGGCCCGCTGGGGGCGGCAGACCGCGACCCCTACTCACGGCCCTCGCCACCGGGTCCCTCTGGGCGCGAGAACGCCGCTACTGTGCCGGGTGGCGTGGACGGGGGTGCCCGGGGCGAGGCTGGCGGGGACGAGGGTGCCCGAGAAGCGGCCCGGGGCGAAGGTGCCCGGGGTGAGGGTGCCCGGGAAAGCGACCGGGGCGAAGGTGCCCGGGACGAGGGTGCCCAAGAAGCGGCCCGGGGAAAGGGTGCCCGGGGAAGCGGCAGAGGAGGCGGGTGCCCGAGAAGCTGCCCGGGACGAGGGTTCCCGGGACGAGGGTTCCCGGGAAGCGGTCTGGGGCGAAGGTGCCCGGGGAGAGGGTGCCCGAGAAGCGGCCCGGGGCGAAGGTGCCCGAGACGAGGGTGCCCAAGAAGCGGCCCGGGGCGAGGGTGCCCGGGGAAGCGGCAGGGGAGGAGGGTGCCCGAGAAGCGGCCCGGGACGAGGGTTCCCGGGAAGCGGTCCGGGGCGAAGGTGCCCGGGGAGAGGGTGCCCGAGAAGCGGCCCGGGGCGAAGGTGCCCGAGACGAGGGTGCCCGGGGAAGCGGCAGGGGACGAGGGTTCCCGAGAAGCGGCCCGGGGCGAGGGTGCCCGAGGAAGCGGCCCGGGACGAGGGTTCCCGGGACGAGGGTTCCTGGGAAGCGGTCCGGGGCGAAGGTGCCCGGGACGAGGGTGCCCGAGAAGCGGCTCGGGGCGAGGGTGCCCGGGACGAGGGTTCCTGGGAAGCGGTCCGGGACGAGGGTTCCCGGGGAGAGGGTGCCCGAGAAGCGGCCCGGGGCTTGAAGGTGCCCGAGGAAGCGGCCGCCCAGCCCGCCCAGCCGCTGCAGGGCGGCGGAGGCCCCGGGCCGCGCGTGGCCCCGGCCGAGGAGCCCCGCCCCGGCCGCCCGCGGGGTCACTCCCGGGTCCCGCGCCGCCCCGCCCCGCCCGCTCCGCGCCACGTGCGCCGCGCCGCGCCCCGCCCACGTGACCCGGCGGCCCCGCCCCCGCGGACACGCCCCCGGCCCGGCCGCCCCGGGGCGGGGCGCGGAGGGCGCGGCGGCCGCGGCCTCGCGGGGAGGCGCCACGTCATCGCCCCGCCCCGGCGGCCCCGCCCGCGCCCGCGCCGCGCCCGCCGCCCGCCCGCCGCGAGCGGTTACCGGCCCCCGGCGCGCGCTCCCCGGGTCTCGGGCCGCGCTCCCGACGCAGGTGAGGCCGCGCGGGCCGGCCGGGCCGGGCCGGGCGGCGCGGGCGGTTGGGCCCCGTTGGACGCGCGCAGGGCGGACGCGGTGGCGGCGGCCGGGCTGTCGGGTTCGCTGCCCCGGGCCGGAGCCCGTCGGTGCCCGGGCGGAGAGACGCGCGGCCGGGCGCCCTGGCCCCGCGGCGCCCCGGGGCCCATGTCCGCTCGCGCCCCGGGCCCCGCCGCGCCCGGCCGCGCCCCGCCGGCCCCGGCCGCCCCGCAGGCGCCGCCGGCCGCCGCCACGAGCGCCGGGGCGCGGGGGGAGCCGTCGCCGGCGCCGGTGCGGGGCCACAGCGTGCCGCAGGCGGCCGTGCCCGTGCGGCCCCTGGCGCTGCCCCTGGCCTACCGGCCGCGCGGCCCGTCGCCCCCGCCGCCCGCGCCGCCCGCGCCGGCCCCCGGCCCCGCCGAGCCGCCGGCGCGCAAGGACAACCCCTGGAGCCGGGGCCCGCCGGCCGCGCCCCCCGCGCCCCACGCAGGTCTGTGCCGCGGGCCGGCGCCCACGTGCGCGGCGCGTCCGCCCGGCCCGGCCCGGCCCGGCCCGGCCCCGGCCCGCCGAGCCCGCGTCGGCCCGTGCGCCCGCCCGCCCGGCCGGCCGGCCGGCAGGTGCGCGCGGGCGCCGGGGACGGGGCCGCGCCGACAGCTGTGGCCGCGGCCCGGGCCGCGCCGACACCTGGCGGCGCGCGCACCGCTGGGGGGCCGGGCTCGGACCCGGACCCGGACGGGGCCGAGGTTCCTCCGGGCTCCGCTGTGCCGCGGGGCCACGCCTGGCGGTGCTCGGGGGGCCGCAGGGGCGGGCGCCGGGGATGGTGGGCGCGGGGCGCCGTGCGACCCCGGCCGCGGTGCCGCCGCGCACCTGGCCGGCCCGGGGCGGGGGGGGGGTGGGCGGGGGGGGGAGGCCGCGGTCGGGGGTCCGAGCCGGCGCCCCCTGCCCGCCCGCCGGTGCTGCCGGGGCGCACGTGGCTGGCCCGCGAACTGCAGCTGCGGTGACATTGGCTGGCAGAGCCGCTTCCCCTAGGAGTTTGCACGCCGCGCTGCGGAGACGCGCCGCGGGCGAGGATGGTTCTCTTCGGTTACATTGTTTCCTTAGGAGTTGGGGTGCCGCGGTTACGGTCGTGTTCAGGTTTGTGGCGTTGGTGTACAAAGTTGCTGCGCCTTTTCCAGCAGTGCCCGGACTCACTTTATCTTTGTGACTGACAGTTTGGTTACTTACTTGCATGCGCAAGTACACACATGTAACCATTTTATGGAGGCGCCCAGATGCCCAGTTGGGTCCCTCGCGTTTTCCCGAGCACACCTTGCCAGCTAGCATGCGCCCCACTGTCGGGACCCCCCCACTCCCCTTTCGGGAGGGAGGAAAAATCTGGGGTTGACCGATTGCGCTCCCGTACTGTTTCTTATCTGACATACCGAGGGGCTTGTTTTCTGTCTCTGTCTGTCTGTCTCTCTCTCTGTCTCTGTCTCTCTCCTTCCCCCCCTCCCTCCAGATGGTACCCAGGGGTTTTGCAGGAATTACTCCCTGCCGTCTCGGCGGGCCATATGGCATGCCGGGGACCCAACCTGGTCAGCAGGTGCCCTCTCTGCTGTCCTGGCACTCTGGCCCCGAGGTTCCTTTTCTTGTGAGATGACGGTGCCTACACGCTCGGGGCAGCAGAGCCAGCTCCTGCGTCACCTGTGTTGGCTTCCTGCCCGCGAGCCCTCCGCCTGGCCCAGCCCTCGCCCGGTCGGTCAGCTCCTCTTTCCCGTTGGCTTCCTCACACCTGCTGTCCACTCGAGTGCACAGGACCCTGCGCGCCGCGGATAAGTCTAACTCTGGCGAGGTCCTCTTGTGGAGGAGTGCCGGCCACGCCTCGTCCAGCCTCTCCCACCTCACGCCCTGCTGGGGTGCCGAAGGGTCCCTCAGTGACCGATGGTTAATTGGTGGAGCTCGGCTCCTGCCCCCGTGCCAGATGGTCGGGAAGGAGCGAGCTGTCGGTGCCCCGGTGGAAGGACAGGAGGTGGCCCGGCCGGAGTGAGGCTGGTGCGCTTTGGGGAGGTGCCCGGCGCCTGTATGCAGCAGTGGGTGTTTTCCTAGAGTTTCTCTCACGTAGAATAAAGCTATGTGAGGTACTGATGCGGCCGGTTCTTTTTTTTTTTTTTTTAGTAAAAGTTTAGGGAATCTGAGGGGAGGGAGGGGAGATCCCTCAAGCAGAGGTGGGGGTTCATGCCCCAGAGGAGTGGAGGGGCGCCCTCGGGGTGGGGGCACTGCCACAGCTTAGTCCCCATGTGGTCTCAAAACCAAGAAAAAACATTTGTTTTTATGTGAGCACAACCGTCTCTTGTTACAGATTTTGTTCTTAGCAGCCAGGCTTTTATGTATTGAATTATTTTTTCATCACCAAGCTTTTTTTTTTTTTTTTTTTTTTTTTGCTTTTTGGGTCATAACCGGTGATGCACAGGGGTTCCTCCTGGCTCTGCACTCAGGAATCACCCCCAGCGGTGCTCAGGGGACCAAAGGGATGCTGGGAATCGAACCTGGGTTGGCTGCGTACAAGGCAAACACCCTCCCCGCTGTGCTGTCGCTCCAGCCCCAATAGCCAAGCTTTTAAAGTGAATTGCTGATTTAGAGATCTATTGGTCTCCAGGGTTAAAGAATAGCACGGGTTTGATCCCAGCACCGCCAGAGGAGCACCGGATAGACTGTTCGTGAGGGGCTGGGCGGCAGGGTGCATCCCATATGGTTCCCTGAGCACTGCAGGGAGTGATTGCCGAGCACAGAGCCAGGAGTTAGCCCTGGGCGCTGATGGCTGTGGCCCAGAACCAAAGCACACACAGAAGAAGCAGTTGGTTTGGTTTGGGACACGGCGCGGCGCGGTGGGGGCGCTGTGCGGGGTGCCGTGTGGCAGAGGTCGGTGTCTGGTGGCGTGCCCTGCAGGAAGGGGTGCTGTGACCAGCGTCTGCACGGCCAGCTGACCTCGAGGGCCCCTGCTCCGTGCGGCACTCGTGCGCAGGACCCCGAGCAGAGCATCTGTGGGTGTGGTCCAGGCTCCAGCCCCCCGAAATAGCTCGTCCCCTTTAGGGGACAGCTGGCCCGCGAGAGGGCGTGTGTGCGTGGGGAGAAGGCCGTGCGTGTCCCGCGGCCTCCGGGCCTTGCGCTGGCGAGAGGTCTGGCCCGGGAGGGACGGGACCCGAGCAGCTGTTCCCAGAACGGCTCCTCCTGGAAAAGTCAATGAACTCGAAGGGCCGCTGGGTAAACAGTCGTTGTGAAATCGCTTTCCTCTGCGCCTCCAGCCCTGCCGTGCCCGTGCCGTGCCCAGCCCTGCCCGCCCCCTCCCCAGCGCGCCCCGAGCCCGGAGCTGCAGGGAGAAGCGTGTCCTTTTCATTTCCAGCATGTGAGGGGACAAAGTTCAGGCAGCCACTCCCAGCCGCCAGGCTCAGAGGTGCCTGTCTCTGCGCGTCGCCCCAGGCGGGGGGCTTCCTGCGGCTGTGGTTGGTTGGGGCGACCTGGCCAGGGCCAGGAGCGGACTGGGGTCGTGTGCGTAAGGCAGGTGCTTCAGCCCTTGCTGTCTGTCCAGCTCCGTATTGATTTCAAAATCAGCAGATTAAGTTAATTTTTGAAAGGACAGATCACGATTATGAGCTTGGATGTGTTCAAATTTGTTTTCTTCAGTTAATAATTTAATTGTGTCATCTTGAAGTCGAACGTTGTCTCTGTGGGGTCAGAGTATCCTAGGGAAGGCGGGGCGGGACCCGACCACGCAAGGCGCATGCTCCGTGGCGAGCCGCGCCCACCCTTCCCGTGCCCTGCAGTTCTCAGTGCTCTCCCGGCCACCTGTCCCTGTGCTGTGGAGGTGTGTGCATGGCAGGGGGCGTGGGTCAGACCTGGCGCCTTGCTTGGCTTCTGGGCTCTGGTTGTGTCAGCTGGACCTTGGGGCCAGTGAGGCGAGTGTCCTCCCGCAGAGGACCTCCCCCTGTGAGAGCGCACACGGCAGGAAACGGTCAGGGCACCTCCGTGATGCTGCGCTCGGTTTTCTGGACGCCGCGTTTTGTCCCGTGCGTTCCCACGTGTGTGTGGGCCGGGTTGGGGGACCCTCAAGGACGTCACAGGCAACAGGGGCAGCTGCCCGTGCCAGGACCTTTGGGCCCGCCTGCACGCCTGTCCTCGCTGTCACTGCAGGGCGCTCAGGTGTTGCCACCCTCACCAGCCAGTGTCCTCTGGGTCACACAGGCCAGGGCTCACTCCCGGCTCTGCTCAGGGCTCACTCCTGTCTCTGTGCTTGGGGATCGCTCCTGGCTCTGTGCTCAGGACTGACTCCTGGCTCTGTGCTTGGGGATCACTCTCAGCTCTGTGCTCGGGGCTCACTCCTGGCCGTGCTTGGGGCTGACTCCCGGCTCTGTGCTCAGGGATTGCTCCCGGCTCTGTGCTTGGAACTTGCTCCTGGCTCCGTGCTCGGGACTTGCTCCCGGCTCTGTGCTCGGGACTGACTCCTGGTTCTGTGCTCGGGGCTGACTCCCGACTCTGTGCTTGGAGATTGCTCCCAGCTCTGTGCTCGGGACTCACTGGGAATGCTATTCAGGATAGCACAAGTGCTTGGTGACTCCACATGGTTCTGCCCAGACAGACCTGTGATCTGTCCCAGGGTTTGCCTGTGGTGGTGTCAGAATGGCCACGCCTGGCTCTGCCCCAGCTCATTCCTGCTGCCTTCACCGGACCAGCTGTGGTGCTGGGGGGATAGGGCCGGCTCTTCCCCTCCATCCTGCCCTGAGCCCTTCAGGCTCCTCCCTGGTGCTCCGTCTGCAGGGAGCCGCCCTGCACCGGCTGTCTCCTGTGTCTCCAGGGGGTCGCCAGCAGCGTGAGGGTGGATCTGATCTGTGGCGGGCCACACCCAGTGATGATCAGCTCCTGGGGGCCCTGCAGTGTGTGGGGAGGGAGCCCACCCCCCTCCCTCCAGCCTGTCTCTCAGAACAGCCGTTTTCCACTCTCTGATCCGAGCACTGAGCCCATCCGAATCTCCTGGGCGCGTGGCCGGTTCCACGGCAGCAACTTGGGTTTCAGAACTTAAGATCTGGCCGGGAGTTCGGTTACACACATGTTGAGAACAATTATTTTGTTTGGGGCCAGAGAGATAAGACAAAGGTTAAGGCACTTGCCTTGCATGTGACTGACCCTGGCTCCGTTCTTGGCACTGCCGTGCGTGACCCCTGAGCACAGAGCCAGAAATAGCCCCCCTGAGCACTGCCAAGGCATGGCCGAAGAACAGGCGGCGGCAGGGAAGTGGTCGTAAGAGCGGTCCTGTGTGTTTTCCTTCCAGAGCTCAGTTCCCCCAAAACCATAAAGGCCGGGAAACTCAAGACAAAGAAAGCCACCAAGGTATGTCCCGCCGGCTGGCTTGGGAGGCGGGTCGGGCGGTGTGGTGCCCGCTGCCCCCTGCCCGGGCCTGGCAGTGAGGAGGGGGAGGGGGGTGGGTGGTCTTGGTGCTCACGGGGTCTGTCTCTCCACAGGCCAGTGAATTCAGCGACATGGCGAACTGGCCCACCCCGAGCGAGCTCGCCAGCACCGGGGTGAGTATGTCCCAGCCCTGCGGGGGCTCAGCACACGGCACGCGTGGGCAGACCTCCAGGGAAGGCATTTCCGTGTGACCTGGTGGGGCCCACCCAGCGGTGCTCCTGGCAGGCCCAGCGGACCTCGTGCTGGGTCGAACCGGGTCAGCCGTGTCAGGGTGTGCGCCCTCCTGTGCGCAGAGACCGATTGCTCTCCAGTACCTGCTGTCCGTCTCCCTGACCGTCGGGCGTGAGGGCCCAGAGGACCCTGGCCGCACTGGCCGGTCAGCACAGGGCTGTCCAGGCCCTCTGGACACTGGCAGGGCTGCCCAGGGCTGTGGACACTGGCGGGTCAGTGCAGGGCTGTGGTGTGAGCTTGGCCTGTTCCCTTTAAGCCCTGGACTCTCCACTGGAAGAGCTGAGCGGGGGGATGGACACTCAGTGGACACGTGTGTGGGCTCTGGGCCCCTCTGCCACTGGCTCTGGGCTGCTCCAGGCCCAGCCAGCAGGGAGCCCTAAATCTGAGGTCGCCTGCTTCCCCCGGGAGGACGTGTGTCTCCGGGCTCCCACAGCCTCTCTCCCGTCTGCCCCCAGGCCCCTGCCCAGAGTGACCGAGCTGGGCTGTCCCGGGGCCTTGGATCCTCGCCATCCGTGCCACGGGTGGGGTGAGGCTGGAGTGTCGCCGCCGCCTGCCAGAGCTCGGGGGGATTGGGCGGGGGGACCGAGTCTCTGCTCGCCCACGAGCGGCGCCTCCTTCCGTGGGGGCGCTGGACGCGGGCACCGGCCCAGGGGACGCCTCTGAGGCCGGTGCCTCCGCAGTGCCAGAGCGCCGTCAGCCAGGGCGGCCGGAAGCCGCAGGGCCGCAAGGAGAGAGACGACAAGGTGGAGAAGCGCAGTGAGAGCGGGAGCAAGGAGGCGCGGGAGGCCCGGCCCGAGGGGCCGGCGGAGAACGTCAGCGAGGACGAGGCACAGGCCAGCGGCCAGCGCAAGAGAGGTCAGCGTGCGCCGCTCGGGCTGCGCGTGGCCAGGCCCCCTTCACCCGGGGTTGGCCTTTCTCTGGGTCCCCGCGGGGTGGGGCCACTTCCAGGACTGTGCTGGACAGACCCGCCCGCTCTGCCTCTGGGGGGGTGCCGGCCACCCCTGACGGCGGCCCCTCCTGGCCGTGCCCTTCCCTTGCAGCCAGCAAACACCGGTGGGTGCCGCTGCCCCTGGACGTCGTGCGGCCCGACAGCCAGGAGCGCCCCGGGTCCCGCACCAGCTCGCGCTGCCAGCCCGACGCCGGCAGAGTCCCGCATGGCAGCCGCAGGAACGAGGCGCGGAGTGAGTGGCCGGGCTGCTCAGGGGCCGCGCTTGGGGACGGGCAGGCGGGCAGGGACTGCTGGAATGGGAACCGTTGTCGTAGCAGCAGCTGCACACGGGCGTACGCCTTAACCCCTGTGCCATCCAGCCCTAGAATAGACGTTTTTCAGGGTTGGAAAATTCATCTGTCTTTACGGTTTTGGCTTAAGGGGCCAAACCTATAAGTGCTCAGGACGTGTTCCTGGCTCTGTGCTCAGGGTCACTCCTGGCGGGCTTGGGTGACCAGATGGGGGACCGTGGTTTGAACCCAGGTGGGCCGTGTGCAGGCCAGCGCCCCACGGGCTGTCCTTGACTACCTCTCTAGTCTGTGGGGAAACTGTCTTCGTGCTGGCCGGATAAGGCAGGAGCCCGGGTCCCTGGGGCACTGCCATCCTGACTCCTCTCGGAGTTGGCTCTGAGTCTGGGTGGAGACAGGAGGGTCAGCAGGATGCCCCCGTGTGGCTCTGCATGTGGCAGGCACCTGGCTAGGCACATGGTTGACCGGGAGGAGGCCGGAGTCCCGGGCAGCGGCTCCCCACAGGACGCTCACACACTCAGACTCCACAGCACACGCACACACCCACGCTCGTTCTGGGGGTGGGTATGGCCGGGCCACCTCTCTGCCCGTGTGCGTGGGACGGCTGGGTATGCCTGGTGTGTCCTGCCTTTCTGAGAGTCTGAGTGTCTGCGCGTGTCTGTGTGTCTGAGAGTGCGTGGATCTGAGTGTGTGTCTGAGTGTGTGTCAGAATGTGATCATGTGTGAGGTGTCTGTATGAGTTTGAGAGAGTGGGAGTGTGAATGTGTCTGAGTGTGTCTGGTTGTGTGTCTGAGTGCTTGTGAGTTTGAGTGTGTTCCTGAGTGTCAGAGCGTGTCTGTGTGGTGCGGGTGGCCAGGCCCTGGTCTGCACGACCCGGGTTGGGCTCTGGCGGCCGGGTCATGGCCCTCCCGTGTCTGAGTGTCTGGGCCCGGCGGGCAGGGCGGGGCTGTCCCGGGCACAGCGTCTCTGTTCCCCAGGTTGGAGGCGCGAGAAGAGAGACGAGCAGGACGAGGTCTCCAGCGTCCGGAGCGAGGGCGGCAACGTGCGCGGCTCCTTCAGGGGCCGGGGCCGCGGCCGGGGTCGGGGCCGGGGCCGCGGCCGTGGCAGCGCCCGAGGTGCGAGCCGCCGGCCAGCTGGCCGGCCGGGGCACCCTATCCCGGGGGGTGGGGGGGGCGGCGAGACCGGGCGCCCGCTCACGGTCCCTGCCCGCAGTGAGCCTGGACTACGCGTGCGTGCGCGCCGAGGCGCCCTTCCCCGCCGAGCTGCACAGCACCATGATGTACTACTACGACGACGGCTCGGGCCTGCAGCTCTACCCCGTGGAGGAGGCGCTGCTGAAGGAGTACATCAGGCGCCAGATGTGAGTGGGCGCCGGTGAGCGGGGCCTGGCTCTGTCCGGGGTGCCCGGGCCCCGGGTCACGGGCGTGGCGGCACGGCCCCGGGGGCGGCTCCCTCCTCGCGGGCGCGGCGGAGGGAGTGGACCCGGCCTCCTCCTCCCCGCAGCGAGTACTACTTCAGCACGGAGAACCTGGAGCGCGACTTCTTCCTGCGCAGGAAGATGGACGAGCAGGGCTTCCTGCCCATCTCGCTCATCGCCGGCTTCCACCGCGTGCAGGCGCTCACCACCAACCTCGGCCTCATCCTCGAGGTGGGTGGCGCCCGGCGCGCCTCCGCCCTCGCCCGCGCCCTCGCCCTCGCGGCCCGGCCCGGGACCCAGGCCGGCCCTTTGCTCCCCGCTCGCAGGCGCTGAAGGACAGCACGGAAGTGGAGATCGTGGATGAGAAGATGCGGAAGCGGATCGAGCCCGAGAAGTGGCCCATCCCCGGCCCGCCCGCCCGCGCCGCCCCGCAGCCCGACTTCTCCCAGCTCATCGACTGCCCCGAGTTCGTCCCGGGCCAGACCTTCTGCGCCCACTCAGGTAACGGCCCGCCGGCCCGCGGGGTGGGGGGGTGCAGCGCCCGTCGGGAGCCCACGTGCCTCCCCTTCTTCCAGTCAGGGTGAGGATCTACTGAGGCCCGCGCCGCCCCGAGCAGCCGCAGCGGAGGACCCGGGGCCCGGTCCCGGGCACACTGGACAGACCGCCACGGCCACCTGGCGGCGCCGGCCTGGAGGGGGAGATGGCCGCCCCCGGCAGACAGGACTGCGGGCTTGCGGGGCCCTCCCGCACGGCCTCCCGACGCCTCCACGGAGCTGGCGGCCGGGGCGCGGGCGGGCGGCTGCCCCCCGCTAGTTCCCGCCGCGAGCCCGCCGACCCCAGGCCCGGCCACCTGCCCACGGGGGCTGCCAGGCCCCCCGCGCCCCCGCCTTGGGCAGGTGTTTTCAAAGTTGAAGCCAAGTGACATTTTTTAGGATTGTAAAAAAGATGTAATGTCTGTATATTTAAGTTAGATAATTTATTCTATAGCCCTTCCCGTCCCGCGTCGGAGGACTCGGGCTCCCCGGTCTGGGGGGCCGGGCGGGCTCTGGCGCCTGTTCCTTTGCCATTTCTGCATTCTTAATAAATTACAGCCGAAAAGCCCGTGTCGTGCGGCTCGAGCCCTCCCGCCCGGCCCCACCTCCGGCCGTCGCGCCCGCAGCCCCGTTCACCTGTGGAGCTTGTCGTGTTACGACGCGCCTGGCTCTTAGCGGAGCCGAGGGGCCGTGGACGGCGCCAGCGACGGAGCCCAGTCGGCAGAGGGCAAGGAGAGGGCTTTGGCCACCGCCCTCGCTCCCCGGGCAGGGACGGAGTGCGTGCGGTCACTCTGGGCAGCCCCGAGAGATGCTTCTGAAGCTCCGCGGCCCCGTGTGGCCCCACGGCCCATCGTCTGAGCAGCCAGCTTCAGACCGTCCCTCCGTTGGGAGCAGGAGGAAGCCAGGGTGGGCAGGCCCGGGCAGGCCCTCGGGACAGGCCCGCCGACCCTCGCTCCTCTGCCAGCGGACCTTCCTGAGCTCGGCGCGGACACCACTGGGCTTGGGAAACGCTCAGAACGTGAAAGCGACTCGGGGATCCGGATCATCGTCTGGGCCGAGGAGAGGGGACTTCCCTGTTCCATCTGTCACGTGGGAGAAATGCGCACGGTCACGTGTCAGACTTCTCAGAGCCCGGGACGCTTGTAATACGTTACGTGGTTTTGGTTCTTTTAAAGAATTTTTACTTCTCCTCGTGTAAAGGCAGCCGGCGGGACGGAGAGATGCTCGTTGGAATGTAGCTTTTGCTCGCCCGTGGGTTTTACAATACTGACTGTACTGTCTGCAGAGGTTTCAGGACCAGAGTGGTGGGACAGTGGGTAGGGTGTTGGCCTTGCGTGCGGCCAACCCAGTTCCATCCCCAGCGCCCCATCTGGTTCCGAGCTCGCCAGGAGTGACCCCTGAGCACTGCCGGGTGAAGCCCCAAAACCTAGAGAAAAGAAATTCTCAGCACCAAGTCCAGAGCAGAGAATGACTGTCTTGTTTTCCTGAATGTTGAAAGTGTCCAGGAGACCATGGTGGTCACTGAGTGCGGCTCTCCCTGAGAACTCCAGCCGAGGAGGCGCCTGGACTGTCCACACCCTAAAGGCCGGGGTCCATTTCTTCTTGTTTCCTGTTTTGGGTTTGGGGCTACACCTTGTGGTCAGGGCCCACTCCTGACTGAGAGGCCGGGGTCGGGCCCTGGACCATGCCAGGCCAGCGTCCTCCTGCCGTGCTGTTCTCCGCCCCGTCTTCCCAAGCAGCGACCAGAGCAGGAGCTCAGATCGTGTGAACACTGGATTCGTCTTCCGGACTTGGGAAACTCTAAGGGCGCTGATCTGGATTTGATTTTTCGGACGGGATGTGTGAAGAAAGGCCCTCCTGATCCCGGTGGACACGGGGGTCGGAGCTGGAGCGTGGCCGCCGCTGCCCACCCTGCCTCCCGCCACAGAGAATCTCCGCTCTCGGGCCTTAGCGTCTGACCCTGGTCCCCGAGCCCAGGAGGGCGCCCGTCCCGCCCTGCCCACCACCAGCCAGCACCAGGGCCGGGCACCAACTCAGTGGCCTCTTGATGCAGACACGTGGTCAGCCTGGGAACCCCCGGTGGCAGCTGGCGCGCCTGCGACGGGCTTCCGGGGGTGCCTGTGTGTGACGGGGAACCCGGCCCCAGCAGAGAGGGAGGGAAACGTGCTCACTCTCTGAACTCTCCTTTCAGCGTGGCTAAGTGGGCACTTTGCAGTCTGTCCCCAGCTCCCCAGTGAGAGTCTCCCGGCCGGAGACACCAGACAGCCCCGAGGTGAGTGGCCGGCCCTGGGGCGCGTGGACTTGGTGCCGGGCCGAGCTCCAGGTCGCCTCCTCCGTGCAAGTGCCGGCGTGTCGCGCGTGGGAGAGGAGTGACCCACCCGCTTGCTCCAGCACTGCCCACGAGCCTCCCTCCCTCCTCCTGAACTCCCCGGGGGTGGGGGTGAGGGGTCCAGGGGAGTCAGGCTGGAGTGTTTCCTGCTGCTGTGCTGGGCGGGTCCTCAACACTGTCCCTGCGGGGGCTGCTGCCCTGCTGCTGGGCAGAGTGGCCGAATGGACAGCGGACCCCACACCCCGTAGAACCCTGGATCTGGGAGCCGTGGCCAGTCGTAGACTCAGCTGCTGCCTTGGGGCAAGAAGGTGGAGAATCGGGTCAGCCGATGGCCTCCAGGAGAGAGCACGGCCAAGGGGCTCCAGCCGGCAGATCTGCGTCCCGAGCCCGCGGGCCTGTGGCAGACACACTTTATTCTTGGGAAAAGCCTGGAATTTATGAGGCTAAAAGGCCGGAGAAATGTATCCTAGCTGAAACGAAAATGGGGGTATGGTGACTGACTGTGGAGTAAGTCTAAGAGGCGATCCTGCGGACACTGAGATAAGGAGAAATTCCTGAAAAGTACACCGCGTCCTGGCAAGGCTGGAGGAGGGGCGGCCGCGCCGGGGCCACCAAACGGGTGTCGCGAGGAAGGGCTGGTGAAGGCACCGCCTGGGGTCCCCCAAACACATGCACGCCAGTGACCCCCACCCTGCAGGTTCCCTGCTGGGCCCAGGTCCCTGCCCCAGGTCCCCACTGTTTCTCCCCTTCCCCTGGCTGGGACTGAGCCTGGCGGTTCCGTGCGTCCTCTCCTGCATGCGACCTCAGCAGTGTCCCGCTGGTCCATCTTAGACACCGCCAGCCCTGGCCTTTCTGTCAGGGGACAGCCCTGTGAGGTCCCATGCCCACGGCCAGGAGAGGGTCAGCACCACGGTGAAGCAGGACGCCGTAGGTGCGTGAATGTGCCTCTGTTCTCTTGGCTGGTGAGGGACCAGAGCAATAGCACGGCAGCTGGGTGCTGGCCTGGCACCCAGTTTGATCCCCAGCATCCCATATGGCACCCTGAGCCCCTCAGGAGTGATTCCTGAGCAGGGCTGGGTGTGGCCCAAACACCAAAAGGAAAATAATGTTAGTGAGAAGCACCTTGGGGTGCCCGGCTGCCACCCCCCCACCCCGCAGTGGTTTTGGCTGTTGGACTGTCGAGGCCATACCCAGGAGTGCTCAGAACCCACTCCTGGTGGCTTGGGGGCCCCTAGGGGGTGCCAGGGATTGAAGCTGGGGTGGCCACCTGCCAAGCAAGTGCCCTCCTTGCGGCACTGTTGCTGTGGCCCGTGTCATTCAGATATTTTGTGTGTGTTTTCCACTTCTCTACTGGCACACGGACCCCTGGGGTCACCGAAGCCTGAGGCAATGGGGGCTTGGGTTGGGCTGACGACCACGAGCTCCTGCCAGCTGCAAGCCCAGCCCCGGCGGGAAGGCCGACTGATGGGCCTGGCCCACGGCAGTGAGGGGCAGTCTGGTTACCGTTTGGGAGGAATGCGGGGGGCGGAGTGCCAGCACAGCGGGGAGGGCACGCCCTTGCAGCTGGCTGACCTGCGTTCAATCCCCGGCCCCCCCGTAGGGTCCCCCAGGCCGAGTGCTGGGCCAGGAGTCAGAGCACCGCCAGGTGTGGCTCAAAGCAACCCCCAAAATGCTGCTCGGCAGCCCTGGGGGAATGGTGTGCCTGCGGTCTCCTCCCTACAGGTGCTGCCCGGGACCTCCCGCCCCCACGGCCAACTCCTGCCTTGGTACTCCCCCCGCACTGCCTCTCCGGCTCCCTGACGGTGCTGGAAGGGAGCACGGAGCCATCTCTGGGATCCTGCTCACTAGGTCGGTTGGGTTTTCCATGCTCAGGGCTTCCTCCTGGAGAGGTCTGGGCACCACGTGGGATGCTGGGAGTCGAGCCTGGGCCAGCTGCGCTCCCGCCCAGAAATTACTTTCAAAGAGCTCACGGCCAGGCAGGTCACGCATTTTTGAGGCCCTGGGTTGGATCCCCAGCTCGGGGGAGCCCAAGTCAAACGTCATTACGTCGCCCTTAAACTAGCTCTTGCGCCCTCTCGGCTGGAGCTTATTCCTGGACGGGCGCCGACGCCACAGCCTGATCATGTCCACTAGGTGGCAGCACGGACCACAGGCCCTCCCAGCCCCCAGCCCCCGCTGCCCCCACCCCGCCCTGCTCCTCTGCCTCCAGAGACTCAGGTGCCCGCCGAGCAGTGCCCTGAGACTGGGTCAGGCTGGAGCTCCGCGGGATCTGGTAGTCTGTCGTCCCCGCGCTGTGGCTGCGTGTGTTCAGGAGCTGGACCCTCCGTGACCCGAGACCTGATCGTGCCCTGGTGCTCCTGCCTGGGGACGTCGATGAGCGAGAGTGGCCCCAGGCCGAGCATGAGGATGCAGCGGGGGCCCGGGGGCGGCAGGTCGGGGTCCCTCAGCCTGTTCAGTTCCCCGCATCACATGCTCCTCAGCCGGGCTTGGCACCGGCCAGAACTGCAGTGGAGGGCTCACAGCAGAGTGCTGGCCAGGCAGAGCTGGGAGCACTGTCGGAGTGGAAACAGGCCCTGTGCACACTCGTGTCCGTGCGGCCATGCACCTGGAGCGGCTGAGCCTAGCAGGAATGCAGGGGATGGGCACTCAGCACCCCGCCGCCCCCCCCCCCCCCCCCGCCAGCCCTGCACCTGGGGCGATGCGGCCGCCTGTCCGTACCTGATGCTCGGCCCCACCATGGGGACAGACGCCTAACCCTGTCTGCCTGGGCCTGCCGGACACACGAGCCCTAAGGACCAGGCAGTGCCTGTTGCGCTCCTGCCTCGCGGTGCTCGGGGGCAGAGCAGTGTGCGCCGGGACCACCCCCCTCCCCCCCCACACACATACACACACATCATGCTCCCCGGAGCTTCCAGGACGTGTGGGCTGGGCCCCGGCAGCTCTGCCCCTCCCTGCATTGTGCTCGCCTGTGGTCACTGCTGTGGCGGCCCTGGCCTGGCTCTGCTCCCGGAGACAGCCGAGTGCTGACCTCTGTCCCACAGCCAGCCAGCCTGGCCAGAGCCTCTTCCGATGACCCAGCCCCATCGCATCGGCCCTGCCGCCCCCCCCCCCCCCCCCCCCCCAGCACCTGCAACAAGCCCCAGGGCCAGCTTCCCACGGGCCTCCCAGGGACCTTGGAAAGGGCAGCTGCCCTCTTGGGGGGCCTGGGGCCACACCCAGTGATGTCAGGGCGCCCC